TCCCCCGCCCCCGCCCCCGCCGCCGCCCGCCCGTCGGTCGGTCGGTCAGTCCTAGTATCCCTTCTCAGCTGCGCCCAGGGCCGGCCTCCTTCCCAGCGCCCGCCCGCACCAGCGCGCGTTCTGCGCTCTACCTCGCACCTCAGCGCCCCGCTCCCTGCACGGAGCTTTCCCTGTCCCCTGTCACCGCTCACAGCGCTCCGACCTCCGTCCTCTGACCTCCGTCCTCTCCTGCGGCTGCCCGCGCCCTGCTCTGCAGGCCAGCGTGCAGCTCTCGGTTCAGATCCCCCCTTTCCGGGAAGAAGTGGCCCTGACCACGCTTAGCGCTTGCGGATTCCCCGCACCCCACTCCCAACACTCACACGGGTGTCACCTACAGGTCTCTATTTGTCAGATTTTCCCTCTCCACCAAAGTACTGCGCAGTGATTTTTCCCTGTGTGTATTTTTGTCCTAGAATTTTGGCTGGCAGAGAGTAGGTACCCAACGTGTGTTTGCTGGACGAGTGAGTGAGGAGGGCAAACGTGAACACATGCAGGGCAGGTGGAAACTGAGGTCAGGGTCCCCTGTCGCCTGTGGAGAAAAGGAGGCACGTGCCCGGCAGTCCGATCAAGAGCACTTCCTGAGCGGTCCTCCCCCAGCCCTTCCGTCTCTGGCACGGTTACGATAAACGCACAGAAGTTACAGGCGGTGTTCGCTTCTCTTGGAGAAGTCTGGGGACCGATGCCGAAGGTTCTGTTCACGGGGTTAGAAACCAGGCAACTGTTTCTGCCCAGACCTTCATCTCTGATGCAAAATATCCACCTCCCAGGAGGAGCAGCGGCTTGGTGAAAGAAGCGAGCGCCGCAGGATAAAGCTGTTTCCTGTTTTTTATTTTGAGCAGTATTCTGCGATTTCCGCAAGGGGGCAGAAGGCTCCGGGCGTACTCAGCTCAGCCTGCTTTGTGCCTAAGCAAGCAAGCAAGCAAGCAAGCAAGCAAGCAAGCAAGCAAGCAAGCAAGCAAGCAAGCGTCGCGCTGCGCTGAGCCAGTTTCAAGAAACCAGCGTTGGTTATCCCTTCATCTGTGAGAGTGGCTCTGAACGTTTCAGGAAGAATGTAGTGAAATGAAAACTGTGCGGAGCAGAAGTCACATTTTTAAAAGTTAGGGATTCCGCAAGAGACAGACTAACACCCTGTCTCTCGATTTCCGGCCCCCACTCTAGGTTATTAACTTGAAAGCGATGCACATTCAGACAGCGCAGGGATGTGATGGAATTCCTATCAACGCTACTTTCTGGAGGGTGATGCCGAGGGACTTAGAGATGAATAGCTGCCCTTTCCGCCAACACAGCACACGCTATAAGCTGCGTTTTGGTAGAAGAGATGAGAAACGCTAAGCTGCCCAGGTCTCCAAATTATGAACATTGGTGCCATTTAATGACTCCTTTTAAAAAGAAGTCACCATGGTTAACATGTTTTACTTAGTGTAATAAAGTAGAAAGAACCAAACATATTCTAATTTTTCTACTTTTCTATGGGAATAGCAGGGTATCCTGCATAATCAAAACTAAACCAATACCCCATCCTCCTAGGCTCTAATAATCCACATAAAATCCACTCTACCCTCCTTGCACATTCTGCCTGATAACTACATGCTCTGAGGAAAGTTTATGAGACGTGTGTTCTAGGTATTGTGTGTGTCATCTGAAGTGCGCTTTCTTAGGGTTCTGACTCCACTCTTGGTGGAACCCCACTAACTCCACTCTCAGACTAACCCCACTCCTAGTGTAGCTCTTACTGCTGCCGTCGGAGCTGTGCTCAAATATTGTGGCCTTTACTTGCTTGCAGACATTGTAACAGGACATAGGTTTTCCTAAGCTCTGATATGGGCTTCACCCAAATGATATGTCAGGTGTGAAGAAACAAGGCGGCCTTTAAGGTGAACATTTGCTCATTTAAATCAATCTCCGTCATCACTAGTGAGGTACTGCTGTGGCTAGCGCAAGAGTGAAGAGTCAGCAGTGTCCAGGAAATGACCAATCATGAGGCTGCCAGCAGTTCATCTTACCACTTTATTCCTCTATTCAGCTTACCTTGATAACATGGGAAAAGCAGAGATCAAGTAATTGTCAAACAGTTTAAGAAGACCCTCCAGCCTTCTCTTGTCATTAGCAAGTGTTAACAAGAAATTCTTACTTGTATGTAGAGCAAATACCTCCCCATCTTGCTTTCTGTCTTTTCTTCTTTATTCTCTATTGCCTCAGACAGTCAAACATAACTGTCACTGAGTTCAATTGTGTAAATGACTAAGATAGGCAGGATCCATGAATCCACAACATTGGAGGTACAACAGCTCGATAATAGAACAATCTATTATTGTTCTATTGTTCTAATCTGTTTTGGCTCTCTTTCAGATATTTGGCACTATAAAAAGCACATTTGAATTTCCTAGAAAAATGTTTCTCTTACTGTTTCTAAGATCTTTTAATATTTGTTAAAAACCTATTAAGTATAAATCATTGGATGGAAAGAGGCATAGGAACAAAGAAGCTTGGTGAGCACATTCACGGACGGTGTTTTGCAAGCGTGTATCATTATGTTATTCTGATTAGTGCCCTTTGGTGGGAACGCTTGATTCAGAGGAACGTGAGAAGATGCTACGGTTGCGGGCTCAGGCGGAATGTTGCATTTCCTCCTCCTGGCTAAACCACTGGATTTCCAATCGTTTAAAGTGTCTCTTCAGCCTGTAGTGCTCTTGTATTTATTAAACTGAAATACTACACAAAGGCCCTGGTCATTCCTTACCGTCCTGCTTTCCCTTTCCTAACACCTTCTTGATGGCCTCTTTCACATCTTTATTTCTCAGTGTGTAGATGAGGGGGTTCACGCTGGGGGTGATGATGGTGTAGAGAAGAGTGAGGAACTTGCCCTGGTCCTGCGAGTAGGTGTTTGCAGGCTGGAGGTACATGTAGATGATGGTGCCGTAGAAGAGGGACACCACGATCAGGTGGGGGCTGCAGGTGTTGAAGGCTTTCTTCCGCCCTGCAGCTGACTTGATTTGAAGCACCGCTCTTGCGATGTAGCCGTACGACACAAGGATGAGAGTGTGCGGCGCCAGGATGATGAAGATGGCCAGGGCAAAGGCCAGTGCCTCCAGGGCCATTGTGTCTACACAGGCCATGCCGATGAGTGCCGGCATCTCACAGAGAAAGTGCTCCACCCTCCTGTGCCCGCAGCGGGGCAGCATCAGCGTCTGGGGCGCCATGACGAGAGAACTGCCAAAGCCACTCAGCCACGCCGCTGAAGCAAGCTGCGCACAGCGCCGCGGGTGCGTGATGGCCGTGTGGTGCGTGATGGCCGTGTGGTGCGTGATGGCCGCGGGTGCATGATGGCCATGTGGTGCATGACGGCCGCGGGTGCATGACGGCCGTGTGGCGCATGACGGCCATGTGGCGCATGATGGCCGTGTGGCGCATGACGGCCGTGTGGCGCATGATGGCCGTGTGGTGCATGATGGCCGTGTGGTGCGTGATGACCGTGTGGTGCGTGATGGCCGTGTGGTGCATGATGGCCGTGTGGTGCAGGGGTCTGCAGACGGCCACGTAGTGCTCGTAGGCCATGCCGGCCAGCAGGACACACTCCACCCCTCCCAGGGCCAGGACGAGGTAGAGCTGGATGGCGCAGCCCACGTAGCTGATAGTCTTGTCTGGGCCCCACAGGTTGTAGAGCATCTGTGGGATGGAGCCCGTGGTGAAGCACATGTCCAGGAAGGAGAGGTTGGCCAGGAAGAAGTACACGGGGGTGTGCAGCCGGGGGTCCAGGCCGAAAGCAGGATGATGGTCATGTTGCCGAGCAGAGTGAGCAGGTAGAAGGTGAGGACCACCACAAAGAGGATCAGCTCCAGGCGGGGGCGGTCGGAGAAGCCCACCAGGATGAAGCCTTCAGAAGAACTTGTATTGTACTTTTCCATCACCTGCGACCACATGTTGCCTGTTGGGAGAAAGATGAGTTCCTAAGAAGAACTCAGATAGACAGTACCATCTTACAAGGAACACATGGTGAGATGGTCGGATGGAGACTTCGTTGGACATACTGTGTGCTTAACCTACAATTTTAATAGCTAGGGTACTCATGAAATCATTGCGCGGTCTGCTGAGCAGCATTTGGGCTCCTGCTCTGACGATTTACCAGCATCTTAATCACTTTCCCATTGTGTAGGATATAAAATATTATTTTCAAAAGATTTATTTTACTACAGAATACACATTCAAAATTTTCAACTTTTTTTCTTTAATGAAGAATTGTCAACTTCTTTGTATCATCTATAGCCCCTGGAAAGGAACAGTGATTTTTATCAATTGATCAGAGAACCCAATTTCCTGTTGGTTAAAATTTCATTATAAATATTATCTCATCAGTTCTGGGAAAACTAGAGTCCATACAAACCTAACAGGGTAGAAGCAATCAAGCAGAATTTTGCAAAGACAGCTACATCATCATCAACTCTATCTGAACCCAGAGGCCATCCTTTCTGCTTGTGGGGCACGACCTTTATCAGGCAGGGTAAGGATACAGAGCTGACGCCACCGCCTCAGTGACTCCGCTACCCACGTCCCTAAATCTCTGTACAGTTATGTTTTCTATGTGTGAAGTACACTTTAGTCCTGGGATCAAGTGACTTTTCTGATGTTGAGTCTGCTTTCCTGCAAAGACACAGAAGGCAGGATCGAGCCACTTGTAACGAGAGCAGCGGTCAGCGTTTGTGCAGAGCTTTCCCTTCCTTGTATCATGTTTGATTATGACAGGAAAACCCACATTCAGGAATCCTACACTGATCGTTTACCTGTCTCGGCCACATCGAGCTAAGTCAGTTTGCGTCATCTGTGCTGCTTCACTCTGTCAACGGCTTGCTGATGGGTTTCTGTCTCAGGGCGACTGTCCTGTATAATGTAAATTAACACTGTTGCAAGCGGCTGATAGTCTTCCCCTTGCTCCGTTTTCAAATCATTGGAGAAGTCAGCGGCTGATTCCACATCACTGATGGAGATGCTGAGACAAAGAGGGATAAAGTAACCTGCCAGAGCCCGCAGCAGTGCGGGCACCTGCCGGGCCTTCCGTGGGGCTGCTTCCTCCAAGGTCACTCCACCTCGGGACTCCAGCCACAGGCACAGGCAGTGCAGTAATTATGCTAAGCCTGCACATAAAACTGAATACATTGTGAAATTGAGCTTGCAACTCGTGTTTTCTGATTTGTTGCACAAAGCTCTAAACAAGGAGGCTTCTTGCTTATCAAGTGAATAAGGCAGTGAGGTAGTGACCATGCTAAAGAGAGAGACAAAACGTCACCATTTCATCCAGGAAATGAGAAGTGCAGTTACCCGCCAGCATGGCTTCATCCCGCACACACCGGGCGCAGAAACCCTAGCAGATGGGCTGGCCTGATGTCCTCTGTCCCCAAAGGGAGGAGGTGTGGGGTGACCTCAGCCACCTTGACGTCTCGTTCTGTGCTCTTCAGCTCAGTGCTGTCCCTGCGATCTACGTACAGGCGCATGCATGTTTATCCACCAAGGAGCAAAATACAAATTCTAGTTCTTTCCTTCCCTTCCGTTCCGTTCCCTTCCGCTCCCTTCCGTTCCATTCCGTTCTGTTCCCTTCCTTTCCTTTCCCTTCCCTTCCTTCCCTTCCTTCCCTTTCCTCAAATTAACCTGAGGTTATTCAGCTAGCCTCCCCCCCATGAATTTTCCCTTCTGCTTCAAAGTTCTTCTGGTGGTCGGATACTCATTCACTGCTTGGTTCTCTCTTTGCTACACTGACGCAGACCTGTTCATCGCTAAGCCTTCCCTTCTCTGGGACGGCAGCTTTAAATTCCTGGACTTTAAGTAATTGGTGGCTGATTCCTCATTTGCCGTGGTATTGTTTTGAATGATATGTGGACATGTGCATTCTTATTTGAACCTCAGGGCTTGACAACTAAACACAGTGACAGGACCGTTTCTTCACATTAATAATTTAGTTACAGTACTGTGATTTGTCCCATTTAGTGCTTAGATGTATCTCCACTGTCATGAAAACCAAGATACCTTGTCAGTCCTGCCCCCGGGCACGCTGAGATGGCAATTGAGATTGGGTGTGGTGGCGCTTGCCTGTAATCCCAGCTCTTGGGAGGCTTTAAACAGTTGGATCTCTATGAGTCTGATCTAGTAGTGAGACCCTGAACACCCTGTAGACCCTAAAAAAAAAAAAAAAAAAAAAATAAAAAAAAAAAAAAAAACCACCCAAAACAAAAAACAAGACAAATTGCAAAACCTTCTGTGACTTCTGGGTCTTTGTTCAGATAATTAAATTTTCCCAAGAGTTTTGCAGGTTGCATCCCATACTGTTCCAATACCAACATTTATCTAACTAGTTTACAAGGAATCAGAAAAGGGGCTTATAGCTTAGGTCGTCCAGGATAGAATTATCAAATGCCAGGGTGAAGAAAGTGGGGCGCCTCGGAGGAGACCTGCAGCACTTCTTGTGCCCAGGGACATGAGGTAGAAGCAAAACTCCCCACAACTCCGAAGAGCACCGCCTGTGTCCTTTGACATCGGTGCTCCATTCAGAGCTCCAAGCCACAGTACAGAGAGCTCGTTACTCAATCAATGCTCATGTGATGCACACGATAACTGGCAGTTTTATTCTGAAGATCTTCCAATTTGGCAGGTACATCACTTACTAAATTGATTTTGGGAGATTTTCACAATGAGCTCAAAAATCTCCCTCTAGTTTCCCCACAGAATAAGTGACATTAAACCACAGCCTTCAGAACTTGAGCGAGCCCAGGGAGTGAGCTGCTGCAGCGTTTGGCCTGTGGAGTATCGGTCTGATGAGCTTCTCCGCTCGTGACTTCACCACGGCTCAAGATTCACTTACGCTGTTGCAGAACACTGTCACTGGTGGCTGAGCGGTGTGGGTCAGGAGGTCGCTGACTTACCCGGTGAGACTGCAGCCTCCCAAATGCCATGTCCACAGTTCTCTTCTTTGGGACTCACACGCAAGTCCAAGTGTGATGACTCCAGGATAGACAAGGGCAGGAGAAAGACGGCCTGTAGGAAATCTCTTCAGAAGAGAGCTTCAGAACAGAGTGCTGTCTGTTCAGGGAGAATGGTGAACGGGTAGCAGGACAGAGAGGGTTCTGGATGGACTAGTGGGCACACAGGTCACACCACCCCAGAGACACGGGGAAGCCACACACCCAGGCACCGGCCTCGGGTGAGGAGCTCGCTGCAGGCCGGCATGAGGGAGGATGTGGAGAGCGCAGAGCCCCGGGCTGCAAGGGGACCCTCAGCTCCGGCTAGAGTAGGGCTGGGCCTGCCTTTCCTGCCGCCTGTATAGAGAAGCATTTCTCCCAGAATTCCCTAGAGTGATTATCTCTAACAAGGGTTGGGAGATGCATAGTCTCAGAGGAAAAGCACTCTTCCCAACACACACACACACACACACACACACACACGTGCTGCAGAGTCACTTGAGACAGAGCACTGAATGGTTTTCATTGAGTTTGTCTTCGTCAAGACCAGTGGTCAGTAGCAAGCATCAAGACACAGCAAGCGACGCTTTGGACTCAGCACAGAGCGGACCTCAGAAGGGAGGGGGCACCAGTACACTGTGTGCCTCAGGTTCCTTTGGTGACATGTCGTCTCTACCATTTGCTCTGACAACGAAGTGCAAAACAGTGCTCTTACTTCAACACTGTTAGCATTTTGTTTACTTAAGATTAGGGTTTTAAAAAAAATTTTAGTACAGAGTCTATGGGCTCTCTCTATGTAGATTGGACTTGTAGTGATCCAGCTGTGTTCATCCTCCAAGAGCTGAGATTACAGGCACATGCCACCACGCCCAGAAGTTAATTTTCTCTGCAGTTTAAGATCTGCAGTGGTAAAGCTTCATTGGAATATTTTCCATTTAAGAGAAACAATATGGACTTAAAAAGAAAAAGATTGATTTTGACATCTAAAGTTAACACAAAAGCCAAAATAGGCCACAAATGCGAAAATAAGTTCATTTCAATTTTCCCATGAAAATTATGTCGAGAACATTACTATGCATTTGACTAAATGACTTCAGCTGAGTCATTACAATGAATTAACAGATTTGAATTTATAAAAACCATAACTAACCACAGAAATGCGCTGTTTCAAATCACTTTACTGGCTGGTTAAGTTATAAGATAAACTATATATGAACAATTGTGTTTCAAAACTTTATTTCTGTGTCTAGCTGTGGAAGACTCTAAGGGGGACAAATTTCATATTTTCTCTCTAAAGCCAGCGATTCCAATTTACACACGAGATGCCACCTCTGAGCGTGCTTTGTACGCTGAAAGCATAGTTTAAATTGTAGCTATCACCCTCCTCCTCGCTAGCCACTCTGATGACACACTACGGTGACCATTTCTGGGCTCATGTATTAAGTAGAAACAGAAAATGTTTGCTTATTAACATTTCAAATATGTTTTAAAAACAAACCCTGTTAAAGTCATAGTGCAACATTCACACCACTAATTTTACTGATGTGGGTGGAAACACGAGGTAGGAGCAGTGAGAATATTGTCTCCGCTAATTCACACATGAATGATATAAAATGATTCTCGGTCGGCACAAATACTGACATACAAAGACGAGCAATCGACAGTGTGCGGCAGTGTTACTGCTGGCCCGGGAAGGTGAGCTGTTCCCCGCGCCGGGCCTCACCCTGAGCCGCTGGCGTCAGTCTGCGCCTCCTCTCAGCCTAGCATATCCTCACGGAAAGGAGGGAGAAATAGCTCGCTGATACCTCCAAGAATTTCCCGTCGGAGGCAATGAGTTCCTCTGAGAAAGGGGTGGGGGAGCCCCAGTGGGGCAGTTAACTCTGTGAAGGACGTGGAAACATCTGCTAAAGAAGAGAATTTAGAAGCAATCATTTATTTATTTATTTGCCACCTCATTTCTACTCCCCTTATTCAAA